TTTTGCGTCAGAGTTATTTGAGATAAAAAAAAGTTCAAATCATCTCTCTCTCAATCATATCTGAAAATTCATCGAAAGCTAATTAAGTAAAAATTTAGCACGTTGGAACTTTTTTCTGTGCAAATGCGACTTTTCAACCTTTAGCACTGTGTAGATTAGGTGACCATAGAAGGCCTTTCCATCACTAAAATTTCCAGGAATGCGCTCAGAGGGGTGTTGCCGCACTCCTGACTCGAGATTGCGCGCCGTCAAGGTTTCTGGCCTACAACTTATAGCGATGGGTTTGTTACATCAGCTGGTCCCGCCCACCGCGGGATGTGGTGCGTGGCTGGCCTAACGTGTGAGATCAGCTAGGTTGATTGCCGTATCAACCGATGGAACGGCTGGCATATCCGGAAAACTCGTTTGGACGTGGCTCTCCCCCGAGCAAGCCTCCTTCACTGCTAGAAGGAAGGGGTTTCGATTTCGGTCTTGTCGACGGTTTCTTTGCGTTTTTTCTTCACTGTCGTTCCACCTCCCATCTCTACACTCAATTTCAGGCGCCATAATGCCCAAACACGAGCCTGACTTTTGCCTTTAAGACGTAATTCTTTCAAACTATTTATTTGGGAAGCTGAACCGGTATGAGAAACTACAGGATTCAAGCTTTCTAAAAAGTACCCAAACGTTTTAAAAGTCAGTAGTTCAAAAATTAGTCCCGTTGCTACATTTTTTGAGGGGCATTCTCCAAGCCATTCTCTTGAAAAGCGGGTTTTTTTTAGGTTTCACTGGCCGCAACCTCCAGGGAAAACAATATCGTGTTGACCATAGGATGTGTTAGAATGCTTTGTGCATGCGCTTGCACTGATATCCCCTGCCTTGGTGTGCGCCACGCCTCGGTCGCGCTTCTGATTAGCTGATTCATTTGAAAGCTCATTCAGAAGGAAGCGGCTCACAGATGCTCTAGCATCAATTATCTTGCGTAAACGTAATGTGGTGACTATTGTCCATGTTGTCTTAGGCAATACTCCAGCTACACTTTAGTTTCAAATGTGGTTTCGTGGGTGGACCCATGTCATGGTGGGAGCACTTTTTTGAACGATGCTACATGTCTTGCAGCTGCTGTTTCTGCAAGTCTTCCTTTCTCATGCTCTTCCTGAAACATGGTTATGATCAGTAGGGAGATTACCACAAATCCCGTGCCGGCCGAGAGAGTACGACCCCCCTCCGGGTCCATCCAAGTACGACCCCCCGTTGCTACTTGTAGCAACATAGGGTTGACCCTGGTACCAAGTGACCGCCAACTCGATTGCACGTGTGAAATGAGTCTCGAATAGTTGGTATCTTATACCCATTCTTAGTTATATATAATTTTGCAAGAACCACAACTGAGTGATTGAGGCAACTAAATGAAGGAAAACCTTTCTAAAAGAATTCGGAATCGGTAGCCGCGCAGGATCTGGGCGTATATAAATGCGGTGTAATAGGATAATTTATGATAACACATCTATCGAATATATAAACACTGTAGCACAGTTCGTCATTTTAAAAGCTGGAGGCATTGGAGGAAAGAGGTGGATGGAAGGGCGAAGGAGCGATGGCGCAAAACAATACCACACCTGAGTGGGTTTGCTGTTCCCGATGAAGTATGTATGCATTACGGCAAGGTCTTTCAGGCGTGACGAGCTTTTTGAAAACGGTCTTCTGCATGATATAGGGGCAGATGCGGGGACCACAGAACCATGTTTAATTTTTCCTGAACGGCCCTCTGAATACCAGAAAAGGGGGTCCCTAGTTCGATTCCTCTTGGTGACAAATTTTTGCATTTCGAGTTGACGTTCCAAAATTCGCGCAAAATGGAGTTCTGATTGTTCTGGTTGGTTCTAACTCCATTTTGCGCGAATTTTGGCACGTCAACTCGAAATGCAAAAATTTGTTACCACGAGGAATCGAACTAGGGACCTCCTTTTCTGGTATTCAGAGGGCCGTTCAGGAAAAATTGAACATGGTTCTGTGGTTCCCGCATCTGCCCCTATATCATGCAAAAGACCGTTTTCAAAAAGCTTGTCACGCCCTGAAAGACCTTCCTGGTAGGATATAAGGTCTTCTTACCAATATATCATGCCATGTGTACAGTGTATCGTCATCTAATATTTAAAATGATTGTTGTTGCATAGGAGTCACTTCCAGAATGCTTAATGTCACAGGTGAGAACGCCGCGGAGACTAAGCTATGAGGCGAAAAAAATGTCTTGCGGTTAACGGGAGGACAGCCTAGGCCTCATATATACACAAAATTCATGTCTCTTTTCAAGCGCTGTGATCTAGTAAAGATGAAATACACATTGAAAACCTGTTCGAAAGAAAACGGCGAGTGCGGCAGGCGAGGAGGTGTGCGTTCACAAGGATAAAGAGTGACTTTTTCCGCTACGGAGGATCTTGTACTTGAGATATCAGCGGTGCGTACTGAGTTCTTCTGCAGCGAGCAAACTTGTTTTCGCGGTGCACAAACATGAAATTGGTTTTCATGTCACATTCGGCGGTCGGAGCGGGGGGGGCTGGCCACAGTTATTGCGGGCATGCCTATGGTTCGGGGTTAGACTTCGCGCGTTCAGATTCCTTGCTTTTGTTATGCTTTTTCCAATTCCATATCGCAAATTTTTTCGAAGGCTGAACAAGCGCGTCGGCCTACATAAGCCGAACTCCGTTAACGTTCCGATTCATAAAAGTTTTTTGCAGAAGTGGAAAAGCTCCCATTACTCGGAAATATGTGATCCGGCGAGCGCGTAGAGCAAACCTACAGAATGGACCATTTACGAAGCCAAAAAATAGAAAGACATCTATCAAGAAAATAAGAAAGTTGTAAGAAATGATATCGTGGTATCCACAAACGAAGATCGTAAAAGGATATAACAAGCAACAGTTTTACCAGATTCTGGGATAAGCTTCCACTGTACTGCCAAAGGCATGCCGATGTCCACCTCACTGACTTCAGGCCCGTGTTGATGGTGCTCGTCGACCACAATCTGAATTATTTCTAATCTCAAACATTTAATTATTGTGCAGAAATAACTGCTTACTGAAGCGAGCAATTCTATGATTTAGCGCTCGAGCTAAAGCTATAATTGGCTAAAAGTGCTGTCTTTATTCAAGCCGTTCATGTCGTAGTTGGAATTACCTCTAGAAACATATTGAAATGTTGGTATAATTGAAAAATACCTTCATCTCCACTTGGGGTAATGGCGCCTTCTGCTCCAGCTTTGTAGCGACAAGCCTTAGCCTGAAACGATAGAAAACCATAGAAAAATCCTTTAATTTCAAAGTACGCTTTACTAACTCTTCAAGCGCCTCTTCAATTCGCCGTGGTAGCGTCTGCTTGTTATAGTGAATCTTTTGATGTACACATTGCGCCATGAAGGACTGGATCGTAGAGGTACCGTCGGTTTGCTGTATGACCATCACCACCTGAATCAGTGCTACTTTACTGGAATAAGGATAAAAGGATAAAGCATTTGCCGTTGATCAATCCCTTTTGGGATGCGGCACGCATTCTACTTCCATTTGTACATTCGTAGTGGCGTTTGAATGCGATGTGGCCTATACAATGACTTGCGGGGCCAGCCGATGTACAAGTCAGTGTTTTTATCCTCCCAGACAAGTCTGGTACCAATTAACCGACCCGGAGGGATGGAAGGCTTGGTTGGCCCGGGCGACTCACGACCCAGGATTTGATCCCCGGACCGCTCGCGTGGTAAGCGTGCCACTTGCCACTACACCACTTCCGCCCTTTACTGGAATATCTAGCTCGAAACCTCTTGTGAAGCTCTATTCCAAATGCATTACAGCATTCATGTTTTTTTCTTCAGAAGTTTAGTTTGCTTAATTAGCAATTCGCAGACACGGGATTATCGTTCACTTATCCTTTCCAGAATCAGCGACGACTCCATCTAGGGAATCTTTGTCGACACGTCCCAGGGAATCTCCTACATCACCGTCTGGAGAGACACCATCGACTCCCAGAGAATCAACATCGCCTTCTGGGGTAACTCCAACGTCACCGTCTAGAGAATCACCAGTGACACCTTCAAGAGAAACACCGACGTCTTTCGGAGAGACAAGGACGACACCAACAGAATTCCAGACTCCTTTCCAAGGACGAACTCAGCAACTCAAATCACCTCCGGCTTGAGTCTCCAACAGACAACACCGACAGCGGTTATCGTTTGCAGCTTATTACCTTCCCTTACTGTAGTCCTTAGTTGCTTGACTGAAAATTCAAGAAAATAGGAAATAAGTCGAAAGAAAGGAAACTAAGAAAGTGGAGTTCACATGGTTCTCGCATGGGGCTTTGGACGCGAGCTGAATCGGCTTTTTATCTTCAAAGAAATAGCCCGCTAGCCTACGAAAAAGTGAGTGCACTTTAACTGCAGACCACACACCACAAGTGACGACGGAGTAAATGGCTTCTGCCAATGGGATCATTAGCCGTTGCAAATGTATTCTATCTGTTGTCATTTACAACTATCCTTTACCAACTATCAGCTACCACTATAAATCAAATCAGGGATAATGTGTATTGTCTGCAGTCGACGCGCATCTGGTTTTTGAAAGTAGAGAATATCTAATTTGTTTCTGAATTCAACATGCTGTTTTTTGATATATTTGCAAGTAAATTCTCTAATTAGAAATGCTGATACATGGCATTTTAAGAGAATCATTTAAAATTGAAACCATCATTCAAATTTGAAACCCACTGAACTAAAGAAGACCCTTCCTCCATACTTGTTGAAGAATATTATAATGCAATAGTTCTCACAACATTCCCAGTGAACTACCAACAACTCCTCTGCCAAGCCGTCCTGTGGACACACGATTAGGTTCGACTAGTACAACGGCTGCATCTCATGTGCCGAACCGAGTGCGAGGTTAGTCCCTCGGATTTCCTTAGTTCCTTGAATTTCTGAAAAATTGAGGCCTTTTCTCAATTGACATTCAGACGACATTTTTGAGGGAATAGCAACACAATCTCATCGTGTCATTAAACAGAAAAGGGTTAATCAGAAAACAAAAGTGGCACTTTTTCTGTATATCAGGATCCGGTATATAGGATCAATTGCCTTCCCCATAGTAGTCAATTTATGCATGTTTTCAAATCGAAAATTCTCACTTGGTTAAGATTTGAGATCGCTTGAGATTGCAGGGGGGGTTAATCCCGGATTCAAATACATAAAAATTTAATTAGTTTAATTGCAAATTACACATGCCGGGAACCTTCATGCTAAAAAGATATAAATATCATTTGTTGCGCAAACCAGACTGTAAGCGCTTTTAATCCTACGCCGGTGCGCGCTACTGCATTCCGACGATACTGAATGGGACAAATGGAACTTTCTGTACAAGTCCGCCATCTCTCTGCATACTGAAATTTGAGCGCTCCCATTCGCTGGTGTATCTACTCGCTCTTCTTCTGGTTTCCAGGCACTTTTTAAATCATTTTCGGCAGCTTGAATTTTACCTCCACCCAGCTCAGTTTACGCCTTACCTTCCAGCAGCGCTTGTTCTCTCCTTCTTTGCAAGCGTGTATCCAGTTTTCACCAATTCTGGACTGCTTCTGAGGCGGGTTATAGGTTTTTTGACCCAAATGGTCAATCACTTCAGTGCGGCGTCGCTATGTAGGCGCTTGAACTCTCCCTCTTTTCAAATCACCCACCTTTCCCTGATCTCTGGCTAGTCTTGAGATCGAGTTATAAAGTTTCGCTGCTAACCCACCCCATTCTGTGTGCACGCTCCACCCACTGACGAATGTGACCCAAATCCATTTCTTTCGAGGTTTCCAGGCAATCTCGGTACCGAATAATTCGCTCCGAGCAATAAGTTCGATGGCAAGCTCGCCTGTTTTGCTCCACGCCACACCCACCCTTGGGGTTTGCTTCCTCATTCGTGAACAATCATTCTTCCCTTTTTCATCTTCTGTACTGTCTTGGTGGGAATCCGTAATTGCTTTACGATTTGGAAGAAACATTGTTAATGATGTAGCAGCAATAGCCATTAGACAGCATATTTTAGTAGGCAGACATCCAAAACCGGGTAAGCTCTGAAATTCTTTTCTCTCACAACGCAGCTCACTGTAAAGGAGTTTATATAGAGCAACTCGTAGCTCGGACACTCACAAGATTTTCCAATCCGTTCTCATTCAGGTAAGGTGCACGTGATATGCAAGGAAGATGGTATTGAATTTAGCGCCAACACGCTGTTCCCGTTCACGGGACAGATTTTCGCCAACGACCGAAAACGAGTGTCCAGGTTAGCATTAAGTTCATTATTTACTCGGTCTTGGTTCGATATTACTTGGTGTTACTTATAAATTAAAACCCCTTTGTACAGCACTGGGATGCGACACTTTCCCGAAGTAAAAGAGCAAAAAATCGTAAAGCTTGACAACGAAATTGCCATACACCCTCAGTAAATTAAATGTTTAAATAGCCAGGAAGCATAATCAACTTCTCGTTATCCGAGTTTCGCTGACATTTCCAAAAGGGCTTCTTCGAGAATTGGAAATGTTCCTCCTGGCAATGTTGCTTCCTATTCTAGGTATGCACGAGCATTCCTTCCCATTCCCTCTAATGACCACTCTTTCCCATAATCTTTGACGTGAACCAGTTCAACGACGAGGGAACTTGACGGGTTTGTCGCTCATTATTCGTACGCTTTAGAAGGGGCCGAAGGCCGACCGACTCCCTGGCGTTCTTGGAGCGGAATTCATCTCTTTTCGTAAATATTGAGTTTTCAATCATCTACAAACACTCGGAACATTGACTACTGAGGCCAGAATTATACCCAATATTGTTCGGTTTTCAAAACTTCTGTGGCATTTGTTGGGATCACTCAAAACTTCTCCACATGGGAGGTTCAGAACTTTGCAAAAACTAATAGTGTGGCTAACGAATTCAATGTTGCTGGTTTTTCGTTGTAAGTTGAAGTATGAAAATTATTCATCGGAATGCTGGGGAAAACACTCGTCTCGGACCGAAACCGCTCAACCCAGACGCGGTGATTTTCGCAACGATCAGTGCTAACCACGAATTACCACCAAAGCATGTTTCACCTTAGCCGGCTACTTTCAATTATTGCCCAACTTCAAAACCTGAATACATACTTTTAAAGGGGCCCTCAATTCAACCTGTACTACCCACGAATTATTAGGGTCGCCGTCAAACTATTCCAGTGCCTCATGAGCGTTCAGCGTTAAAGGATGTACATTTAGACCTTACTGCCTTGGTCAAGAGAAAAGCCAGTATAGGGAGTCCCACACTCTGTATGCTAAGATTGCAATTCAGAAGCAGTCTGTCCTGAAAATTTAAATTATTCTAGTCTAGAAGCGGTGTGAAACGATTTCGCTATTCCTCTTTTCTTTTCTCTTTCTCGGAGTCATACTTGTATTAGGTCGCGACGAAGGTATTTGTGGATTCATTACCTCAATTTCAAAAAACTCATATTTTCTTGAAATTGAACTTTATTCCGAATAATTTTTACCCCAAAATGTATCTGCAACAGTCCGCCATCGGTCGACAAGGAATAAATGCCTCTCCTCCAAAATTCGGCAGGCTTCGAGTCGAAGAAGTGCTGGATGTCCGTTTCCAACTGTTGACGATCATCGTACTTTTGTCCTTTAGGAAGTGAGCCAGGGAACGGAAACAGGTGGTAATCCGTAGGTGCGAGATCTGGCGAATATGGAGGATGGGGTAAGACCGTGAATCCAAGTTCCGCCAGTGTGTCCTGAGTTACACTTGCTACATGCGGTCGCGCGTTGTCATGAAGAAGAAGGACTTCGCGCCAGCTTAGGGCGAAGTTTCGCGACTTCAGCTGCGAGCCTTCGTAGTTGTGAGCAGTACACCTCAGCGTCGACGGTGGTATTGTTGGGCAGCAGCTCGTAATGATGTATTCCGCGAACGCTCCACCAAATTGACAGAAGAACCTTCTTCGGATGAAGCTCCTGTTTTGGGACAGGATCTGGCTTCTCGTCCGCATCCACCCACTGTCTTCTTCCTGGTATGATTTACGTAGAGCACCCACTTTTCATCCCCGGTAATGACATTATTCAGCCAATCGAAACGGCGGCTCCTTGCAAGAAATCCTTTGCACACCTCAACACGCCTTTTCTTGGACTGGTCTGTCAGCTCATGCGGGATCCATCGACTAAGTTTTATTGACTGCACCCTTGTAGATGGCCAACCTATGGCCATGTCGGAGCACTGCCAGCTCGCTAGTACTTGCATATGGAACGTCTTGAAGTAGTAGCTCCAGACTTTCCAAATTGACTTCCAGGGCGAGGTTCATCTCCGAGCGTTGTAGTTTCTCCGCGGAAGCTATTAGACCAAAATTAGCGGGTCTTCTCACACTACTCCTCCTTCTGCAGAGAATATATTATGGCAAGCTTCGCTCGCTCTGTTTCCCAGACA